CTAGAGTGAACTTACAGTCATAGTGTGAGGTTTCACTCCTCTTCAAAATGTTTTTTCACTGCCTATGGATGGTCTTTCTCTTTTATTATACTTTATTTATTCTGTGTGCTGTGTGCATGCATGTATGTGTGAGCACAGACATGCTACGGCATGAGTGTGGAGGTCAGAAGAGGACTTTGAGTTGATTCTCTTCCTCCACCATGTAGGTTTGAGGGATCAAAATCAGGTTGTCAGGCACCTTTACCTGCCAAGCCATCTCACCTGCCCTCTTTCCTTTTCTGTTCTCCTTTCTTTTCTTTTTGAGACAGAGTAGCAGAAAGCACAGGCTAGCCTCAGAATTGATTTGTAGATGAGGCTGCCCTTGAACTCCTGAATCTCAAATTTATACCTCCATCAATCTGGAATTACTGACATGCACCACTACAACCAGTTTTGTGCAATTGAAATTCAGGGCTTTATATAGATTGGTCTACATTGAGCTAAAGCCACAGGCCAGACCTTGATTTCTTTTGTTTTCTTTCTTTCTTTCTTTCTTTCTTTCTTTCTTTCTTTCTTTCTTTCTCTCTTAATATTTTTAGCAAATGTCCATGCAACCCAGCTGACCTGGAACTCAGTGTGTAACTGAGGATGACCTTGAACTTGTGATCTTCTTGCTTTCAACTTCCAGCTCTTATAGATTTATTTGTTTTATGTGTTTTGCTTGAGTATATGTCTGTGTACCACATGTGTGCCTGCCCATGGAAGTCAGAAGAGGGCCTTAGATCTCCTTGAACTGGAGCTATGGACACTTCTGAGTTGCCACGTAGTGCTGGGAATTGTGCTAGGTCCTCTGCAAAAGCAGGTGCTCTCCCACCCTCTTATATTGTTTGTTTTAGTGTTTTTTGTTTTTTGATATATATCTGGCTGTCTTTGAATTCACTCTGTAGACCAAGCTGGCCTTGAACTCACAGAGACTCAGCTGCTTCTGCCTGCCCACTGCTGTGGGATTAAAGGCGTGCACTACCATGCCTAGCTCTCTTAAAAATACCTCTAACTCCTTAAAGATACACATAAGGCCCGTCATAATCTGGCCATAGTTTAATCTTTCCTACCTCCCCTGTAGCCATTCCATTCCTTGAATCCTCCACAACAGATTATTTATTTGATTCTGAAAATACCATGTATTTCTGCCTCCCCTTTATTCCTCCTTACTCCAATGTCCCAATCCTTTCTTTGCTTGCTTCTATAGGTTCAGCCTGGCCTGATCTTGGACTCAAGGGGAGCCCAGGTCAGTAGAATTGTGTAGTCCCTTGTATACTGCAGGTCAGATGTGGCATTTAAATATTGTAGAACTGGTAAATGAAGTGAGAATTGCCCTCCACCTCCCACTGTGTGCACCCAGGCTGATTGAGCATCTGAGCCAGTTTGTGGTTGCCATGCCAATTCTCTATGGATACTGCTGCTTGCTCTGCAATCTCAACTAGCTGGTGCTTTCTTTGACTACTCTCCATAGTTCAGCTTGCCTCCATCCGAGAACTGACTCTGTCATTTCCCTGCAGCTGCTGGCCTCTCTGTACACAGACACCTCTGAAAAATCATGTTTCACTCCACTCCACAAACAGCAGATAGTGAGTGTGTCAGAACTTTCTGCTCCTTGGCCTTTCTTGTCCCCAAGTTAGATCCCTTGAATATTGACCCTTCTATGGGTCATGCTCAAGTTTGCAACATCTCTTGGACTTTGTTGCTTGGACTAATGCCTACTCCCTTGAAAAGCCTCACTTTTGCCAAGAGTTTATTTTCAGACAGGGTCCTTGATAACTAGCCCAGCCTTGAAGCTGCACTCCTTCTTCCTCAGCCTTCAGAGTGCTGGGATTATAGATGGGTGCCAAACCTGACCTTAGACTGTCAAATTCTTCTCTTTCTTCAGAATCGTGTCTCTCTGTAACTCTGGCTGCCCTTGAGCTCACAATATAGACCCACTAGCCTTGAGCTCACAGAAATCCACCCGTCTCTGCCATCTATGTACTGGGACCAAAGGCACGTGCTACCATGCCTGGCTAATAGCAAATTCTTTACAGAAGCTTCAGCCCAGTGGAACTGGATTTACTCCCTCCTGGGTCTTGGAGAGATGAAACTATCTTACATTTATAATTTATTTAACTTTCCTTTTGTTTGTTTTTTTCTTTTTTCTTGAAGATTTATTTATCTTTATTTTTTGTGTAATGGTGTTTTGCCTACAGTTATGTCTGTGTGGGGTGTCTGATCCCCTGGACCTGGGAACTGGACTTACAGGCAGGGCTTACTGAGCAACATGTGGGTGCTGGGACTTGAACCTGTGTCCTCTGGAAGTGTTCTTAACTGCTGACCCAACTCTCCAGGCCCTGAGTTTTTTGTTTGTTTGTTTGTTTGTTTTTTTTCTGACAGGGTCTCATGCAGCTCAGACTGGCCTCAAATTCCCTGTTTAGCCAAGGTCAGCTTTGCACTTCTGCCTCACCTTCTAAGTGCTGAGAGTATGAGTGTGTGCCGCCACACCAAGTTCATTACCTCTAGAATTATTTTTATTTTAAAATGTTTATTTTCATTTCATGTGTATTGAGGTTTTGCCTGTATGCATATCTGTGTATGAGGGTGTCGGATTCCCTGGAACTGGAGTTACAGACAGTGTGAGCCACCACGTGGTTGCTGGGAATTGAACCTGGGTCCTCTGGAAGAGCAACCAATGCTCTTGACCACTGAGCCATCTCTCTACCCCCATAATTACTTTTATAATTTATAATCAGGATTTTTTGTTTAAAGATTTATTATTTATACAACATTCTGCCTGCACACCAGATATTAGTATAGATGGTTGTGAGCCACCATGTGGTTGCTGGGAATTGAACTCAGGGCCTTTGGAAGAACAGTGAGTGTTCTTAACCTCTGAGCCATCTCTCCAGCCCTATAATCAGTTTTTGAACACCACTTGTTTCTCAGAAAAGTCCTGTGAAAGACAAAGCAATTATTATGCAGCCTATACTGCAGGTGCAAATACTGAGACCTACAAGGGCTAAGGTTAAAGTGTCAAAGGGGTCAGCCCATCAGTAGAAAGCCAGATTTCTTAACTCCAACACTCCCTTCACTACCCAGCTCTCTCAGCACATCATGCTCTCTGACATGTACTAAGCCCTCAGTGTATTTCTTTCAAATAAAATGTCAGTCCTGGGGCAGCCTTTCCCACTACCTCTTTGAAACTTTGCCTCCATGGAGCTCCTCTGGTTAAGCAGGACAGAGTTATGTGTCCTGTCCTCTCTCTGGCTCCTAATGCTTGATAGCTTTGTTGTCCCACCCTTACCTGGACAGAGGTAACCCTGGATCTGGAATTGAAGTCTTCTTTTCTTTCCTTTTTTGAGGGAAGGAGAGGCAAATAGGCTCTCTCTATCTAGCCCTGGCTGTCCTGAAACTCTCTACATACACTGTGCTGGCCCAGAACTCATAGAGATCTTCTTACCTCTGCCTCCCAAGTGCTGGGATTAAAGGTGTGAACCAATATATAGGGGTTGGAATTGGAATCTTCTGAAAACAAATAGATTTCTGAGGTGATGAGCACTGGACGTGGGTACTAGGTTCCCTCAAGGACTAGGATTAATTAATTGTGGTGTTGAGACTGGAACATGGGGCATGTTAGGAACCCACTCTACTAACTGAGCTACATCCCCAACCCCCAAGGACGGAATATTGAAAAAGAAAAATCTTTCTCTTGAGGACAGAGGAGATGGTCTATGCTTGTTCTGTCCTCTTTTCTGTGGGAAAGAAATTTTGCTGTCCACGTGTCAGTCACATAAGGACCTCTCCTCTGACAGAGTACATGTCAATGTCTAAGGAGAAAGAAAATTTCTCAAAAGAAAGGTGTGGTTTTGTTGTTGTTGCTGGGTCAGCGTCCTACACTGCCTGGGAACTGTATCTCAGGCTGGCCTCTAGCTCATGTACCACTACACCCAAGTTGTTTCCTAGTTTTGTATTTTATGCTTTCCGTCAGAAAGGAAAAAAAAAATATTTCTAGACAGAAAACAATTCTGATGAGATCACACCTAATTTTCTTCATTCTTGGTGTCTTTCTTCCACGTACTCTGAGAGGGAGGGGACCAATGTTCTGTCCAGCTCAGAGGTGGGGTGGCTTAGGGTGGCTGAGGAGGAAAACTTGCTGTGGTCAGAGCTAGATCCCAAGGCACCATTTGTGTAGGCAGTGACAGTGGGGGAAGGCCCTGTATGGCTGTGGTGGGGGTCCTTTAGAGATAGACAAGTGTGGGAGGAAGCTGGGAGAGGTGCTAGGCCAGCCCTTGTTTACACACAAGGGGGTGGGGTGGGGGAGGCTTGAGAAAGCCTTGGAAATATGTGACACAGCTAGGTCTCGAGGTCTGTGTTGTCAAGTTCCAACTCAGGAACTTTTTCTCACGTAGCTGACAGGGGAAAGGGGGTCCAGACCAAGAAACTTCTGCTGGACATGCTTGACCCGTGGCAGAGTCCTGGGTGGGGGAAGGTCAGAGAGTAACAAGGGAGGGGCACTGGGGAGGAAGATGAAATTTGGGGCCATATTCAGAGGAGAGAGCAAGAGAGGTCAAGGGCTTTTAGGGCATCAGATGCTGAATGTCCAGAGAGGAAAGGGACAGCTGTCTCAGGAGTACAGAGGGAACACCTAGTATGCCTCCCTCCCCCTCCTAAGAAATTTGTCTAGCATTTCCTGTATCTCTAGAAGAGTCTGTCATTTATCTTTAAAACCAAAAGAGGTATGTGAAGTAGGTATCAATAGCCTATAAACAATGGAAAAGAAATAAGTAAACAAACAAATAAGCCAGAACAAGAAAAAGCTGGAGAAGATGGCTCAGAGAGTGGCTTCCCCGGCTGCCCCTGTTTGCAGCTTTAAGTCACTCTTCCTTCTGCCCTTTTCCTGATTAGCAAAATGCCAACCAAGGCCAGCTTATCCTGGGGGAGGTCAGAGAGGAGGGTGCAGGAGAAAGAACTTCAATAAACACTCGAACCACCTCTTCGTTTACTGTAAAATCCTGTTTAATGTGTAACATTTGCAGAGAGAGAGAGGCCTTGGGAACTGGGGACTGGGGGCAGCCCTGACCAGCCTTTCCTCCAATTTATCTGCCTGTTTCTCCCTCCGTGTAACTCCCTCACCCTAGACACGTTCTCCCTTTTCCTTGTGACAGGCAGCAAGATAAGCACTGTTCTTCCTTTTTCTGTGCTTGCTCCCCTCGTTTCTCCACCCGTGATGCAGAGCCCCTCCTTCACTCCCCTTGCCCACACCCCTTCCCCCCTGATGTGACTCCCAAAGTGGGATACCTGACAGCATGGGGGTTAAGATTAGTTTCATAATTGGAAACACCAGCAGGGCATCTCATCTCTCATCTCAGAGAAAGGGAGAGGGGAGAGGAAGGAATATAGGCAGAAAGAACTGCCCACACCCTCAGTAACCTTGAGCCCTGGTGCAGAAGTGGCTCCCCACTCCCCAGCCAGCCAGTTCTTAGACAGAAGACTCTCTGAGGAAGGGGAGCAGGGAGGGAGGGAGGGTTTTGATGGAATAATCCCTAGCAGGCATAGGGATTATTAAAAGGAGGGGCAGGCCTGGGCTGGATGAGGGAACGGTGGGATGGGAGGTTGCCTGGTACAGGGCATCAGCAGGCTGAGCATCGGTCGCTCTTCTCAGCCAGCCCGGCCCCGGTGCCAGGGCTGCGACGCAGTATGTCTTTCAGAGAGCCATCCTGCTCGCTCAGCAGCTTGTTGATCTCATTCTGCTTGTATTCAGGTGAGAGGCGGTGGCCGAAGCCGGAGCCCTTGCGAGAAGGCGGATTGGAGCGGCGCTGAGCACGGCGGGCACAGGCCCGGATGATGAGGTACACCACCTCCGCCACGTTGAGGATAATGCAGATGCCGGAGGCAGTGAGCATAAAGACAGTGAAGACGGTTTTCTCAGTGGGGCGGGACACGAAGCAGTCCACTGTGTTGGGGCAAGGGTAGGCCTCACACTTGACCAGCCGCACCATGGCATAGCCGGGGTAGAGCAGATAGAAGACATACATGAAGACGGCCTCGAACAGCAGCCGGAACACCACGCTGATGACATAGGTCCACCACAGTGTCCCCGAGATATGCACCTTGTGCCTCTTCACCTCTTCCAGGTGAAGAGGGTCCCCATGCCCCTCGAGCCGCAACATTTTCTTTTCTATATGCTGTTGGTGAGCCACATGCATTGCCACGAGGAGAGCTGGGGTGGAAACCAAGATAAGCTGCAGGGACCATAGGCGCACGTGGGAGATGGGGAAAAACTGGTCATAGCAGACGCTGTTGCAGCCAGGCTGAAGGGTGTTGCAGATGAAAGAAGACTTCTCATCACCCCATACGCTCTCTGCAGCCACCACCAGCACCATGATTCTGAAGATGAAGATGACGGAGAGCCATACTCGGCCAATGGCAGTAGAATGCCGATTCACTCCACTGAGCAAGGTGTACAAACCTGTCCAGTTCATCCTGCCTCATTCACACCTGTGAGACAAGAGGCAGGAAGCAAGCTGTCAAAAGGTTAGGGCAGGAAGCTGGGCATAGTAATGCTGCCTCCCCTGCCCCCATTTCTTCCAGGAGCTGGTGCCGGGGGAGGGGGGGAAGCAAGGACGATCATAGCTTTCCTCATCAATCCCTCTTGGCGCCAGCCTTTCCTCCTCATTCTTGACTTGACCTCTCTGAGTCCCATCCCCTTCACATACATTCAGCAGTCTTTTTTCGAGAGTCCCTTTCGTGTTCTGCTATTAGCCAGCTCTTCTGGCTCCCCTCCCCCAGTTCCTTTGCACCTGACAAACCCAGAAAGCCCAGTTACCTCGGGGAGCGCCTATCCTTGAGGCCACCCAGACAACTCCCCTATGGTCTCATGTCTGTGTAGGGGGAGTGGTCCCTGTGGTCGCGCCTGCGTCCCAATTCATCGCCTCCCGGTGCTGGAGAGTCATATGCTGCTTTATACCCAGTGTCTGTACAATGGAACCTTTGTTGGGTACTGAACAACAGCCTTTAGAATTCAGATCAAACGCCCTGACTTCCGCCCACCCTACACACAGAGCACTTGTGTCCCAGCGTCGGACACCCAGCCTGCACCCACCTGTTCTGTGCCCGCCCGGTCCATCGCCGCACCCTCCCCATGGCCCCACCAGAATAATGGCTCTGGGGGAGGGAAATAGAACACAGACAGGTGCATGTAAACCAGGACCCCAGGGAGCTAGGAGTCTCTGGACTGAGGCCCTCCCCCATAATTCTTCCAGAAACAGAGTCAGCAGGAGTTTTCCTAGGCTTAGGTCCCCTTCCGGGTATGGATGAGCCAGAAGGGAGGAAACTGGGGGCGCCAAGTTTATCAAGCCAGGAACTGGACTAATCATTTTCCCATGTAGACTTTCTGTTGAGCCATTTAGCAGTCCTTCTACCCACTCAAAGTCAGACAGCTAAAAGATGAAGCACGAAAGAGTCTGAAGCAGAAAAGTAGAATCTTTGCCGCAGACTCCTTGCACTTTTCCAGATGGTGTTGGCCAAAGTAAAAGCTGGACAGTTTCCTTGATTTTTGTGTCTTTCAAGGTGACATCCAATTAACCTCCTTTTCTTTTTTAATGGCTAGCCCAAGATCTCTCCTTTTTCTCCTCAGAACTGTGTGGTTGACCTAGAACGTCTGACATAGAATAGGCAGCTCAGTTGCTGCCCTGGTCCCAATCTCAAGTGTGTATCGTAACCTTCTGCTTATGAGCATGCCAATGATTCTAGGGAGGAAATTTTTCTCTCTCCCTTAGGCAGACAAAGAAGGCCTCTCCCTACCTCCCACCACTTCTGCCATTGAAGTTGAAAAGAGATTATGCTAGGAGCAGTGAGCTGGATGAGAGCAGGGCACCTCAGACCTAGACCTACAGAAATGCAATGCATTTTTCCCTGACCCCAGTCACCTCCACAATAGGGGTGGTGGGTGCAGGAAGAGGCTTTGTAATCACTTCCGGATGCCTCTCTTGGTTATAGAGGAAAGGGGCAGTAAATAGTCACTGAAAATGTTGAGGAGTTGGAGGAAAGAAACAGGCAATCAGGCAGGTGGCACACAACTGTATGGGGTGTGATGGTTAAAGCAGGAGGCTCACTTGAGCTCAGAAGTCTTAAACAAAGGCCAGGCATGATGGTGCACTTGGAAAGTGGAGGATCGCAGAAGGATCTCTGTGAGTTCGAGACTAGTGTGGTATACAGAGCAAGTTACAGGGAAGCCTGGGCTACACAGACAAATCCTGTCTCAAAAAACAAAGAAGTGAAGGATCAAGAAGTCAGGGGCAGCCTCAGCTACATGATTGGAAGGGCAAGTTAGATTACATGTGACCCTGTTGAAGCACACACACACACACACACACAGAGAGAGAGAGAGAGAGAGAGAGAGAAGATACGCATTCTAGACCAGTCTGAGTGAGTGAGTGAGGTCCAGTCACAAAAATATAACAAGACTAGAGGTAGCAGGGCCATAAGTCTACAGGACATAAGTCACTTCTCTAAGAACACTTCTCTAAAACTTGTTTCTTCATTAGCATTTTTTAAGACCCTATTGGGCCTGATGACACACATCTTTAATCCCATCAGTTGGAAAGACAAGGTTAGGTAAATTGCTTTGAGTTTAGGGCCAGCTTGGTCTACATAGTGAGTTCTAAGCAAGCAAGGGATACAAAGCAAGACCTCTCTTGTCTCCAAAAAAAAAAAAAAAAAGTCAGTTGTAGTGGTGCACTCAAGAAACAGAGGCAGGTGTGTCTCTGTGAGTTTGAGGTCAGCCTGATCTACATGGAGAGATCCTGTGTCAATCCCTCCCCTGAAAAAAAAAAAAAGAAGAAGAAAGGAAGGAGTGAGGGAGGAAAATGTTTTTTGCAGATAAGATGTGTTCAGCATCACAAACTTGACTAGGGCTTTGGGTCAGTGGTAGAGGTTTTGCGTTGCAGTGCTGGGGATGGAGAATAACTGGGGCTAGCAAGATGGCTCAACTGGTAAGGCTGTTTGCTGTCAAGCCTGATGACTTGAGTCTGATACCAGAACCCACGTGGTGAAAGGAGGGAACTGACCCCTGTAAGTTGGCTTCTTAACTTGCACACACACATACATGTAATTAAAAAAAAAATACAACTGCTGCAAGAATAAGCATTTGCTAAGCATATACTAAACTGTGCCAAGCCCGTGAACATGTTTGCTCTACTGTGATTCTCAGAACAATCCTGGTGTGGGAGGGGTGTGGGGGAATCATTGAGATGACTCAGCAGGAATAGCACTTGCAAGCCTGATGACCTGAGGAGAGAACCAACTCCTGAAGGCTGTCCTCTGACTTCCACATGTGTACCATGACATTAACACACACCAACACTTAAACACATACATATTATAAATATGCATGCCAATGGGTTAACAGTAAGTAAAAGGAAAAAAAAAATTAAAGAATAACCTTAGGAGCCAGGCCTGGTGGCTCACGCTTGTAATCCTAGCATTCAGGGAGGCAGAGGCAGGAGGATCTCTGTGAGTTAGAGGCCAGCCTGATTTACAGAGTGATTCCAAGACAGCCAGGGCTACACAGAGAAACCGTGTCTCAAATTAAAAAAAAAAAAAGAAAAGAAAAGAATAACCTTGGGAGATAGGGTATTTTTTTAACCTCCTGTCATGGAGGAGGTAGCTGAGACAAAAAGAAAAGTCATTCCTGCAAGGTGGTGGAGGCACAGTTCTTTAATCCCTGCACTAAGGAGGCAGAGGTAGGAGGAGCTCAGAGTCTGAGACCATCTGGTCTACAGAACTAGTTGCAGGGCTGCCCTGTCTAGAAAGAAAGAAAGAAAGAAAGAAAGAAAGAAAGAAAGAAAGAAAGAAAGAAAGAAAGAAAGAAAGAAAGAAAGAAAGAGAAAAGAAAGAAGGAAGGAAGGAAGGAAGGAAGGAAGGAAGGAAGGAAGGAAGGAAGGAAGGAAAGAAAGAAAAAAGGGTCATTCTGAGGGTCATGACAGAGATGGGCTTTGAGAGAGATAAGGCTAACATGAGAGTTCATATTCTCTCCATAATTTTTTTGTTTTTTGAGACAGAGTTTCTCTGTGTAGCCTTGGATGACCTGGACTCACTCTCCAGACCAAGCTGGCCTAGAAGACCAGGCTAGACTTGAACTCAGAGAGCCACCTTCCTCTGCCTCCCTGAGTGCTGGGATTACAGACCACCACACCCAGCTTTCTCTCCATAAATTCTATGGCATTTTACACAGTTACCATTTTTCTTTCCACATTTGTTCCATCCTCTCTTTCCTTCCCAGGGTTTCTCTGGCCTGCTGATTTGGTCCATTTTCCTTTACTCGGACTATTCTTATGAACTCCAAAGCAAACTTTAGGTGTTCTCTCTTCTCCTCACAGGTGCCATACACAGCTCCTGACCAACCTCAAGTTTCTAGGTCCTTTTAAGTTCTCTGCCTCTTACTTTCTTGAGTTTTCTGCGACATAGCTAGTAGCTCTGTTTAGGACCTCTAAGAGCCCTTGTATGGGCACTGGGATTTAAGTTTTGCTTTGTCTGTGTCAACATCAATAGCTCAAGGGCGCCTTTTTAAAACATCCAGGGGAGTGACCTGATTTTGAAATCCAAACTGTTTCCCTGACTTTAGTTTAAAGTTCAGATACTGATACCATTTGAGTTGCACCAGGCATGTTTTGCTCCATGTTTAATTAGATAGGGTTTCTGAGGCCTTGTCAGGTATTGAATTCAGTTTTGCCCAGCACTTGAGCATAGTGCAAAATAGTACAAGACAATACAATCATTAGCAGTTCTGTGATGTTAGCCCCATTTTTCAGATCAGAAAGTTGAGACTCAGAGCGGTTCAGTAACTTGTTTCACCAATAGTGGTCTGCTGCCAACGAATAGAATCAAATTCCAAATGATTTTCCTCTGACCTCAAAACCTTTGAGCAGAGCGTTGTTTTTGATGACTTCTCTCTTTAAGGGGTATTTTTTTTTTCTGAGACAGAGCACACAAGCCAACAAGCTGTACTCTTATGCATACTGGTGTGTATGTGTACACATACGGTACCTTCATCACCTCGGTCTCCCTTCCTACCCTGCCACTCCTTCCAACCACATGCGGATCCTTGTGTTTTGTGGGTTTGGGCAACAGAGCTCTTGTGGGGCTGGATGAGGTTACCCTCAGGCTCAGACACCAGGGTGGAAGATGTGACTCCGTTGGTAGAGTGCTTGCCTAGTTGACACTCAGCCCTGGATTCTATGCCCAGAAGTAGTAGTGCATGTATTTGCTCTCTGGAGGTGGGAGCACGAGGCTTGGGAGTTCAGCTACATAGAAAGTTTGAGGCTAGCCTGGGATACATAAGATCCTGTTTAAAAACAAACAAAGTAAAAGGAAAAACAAACTAACCCAAACTGTGTTCCATTCCTGTTTCACAGGCTGCCCGTGGTCAGGGAGGGATATGAGACTTTCTTGGAGACTTCCTTTTAAATTTTTGGGTGCCTTCATCAGGTTTCTGTGGTTGAAAGCAATTTTATCTGGCTCCTTCTCTTCCCCTGTTATCGTCATGCCTCCACCCCATGGTTCTACAGTAGCTCAGGTACTGGCTTAGTCTCCACCCTGTCACCCATCTACTGTGGCCAGGTTTGCTCACCATGGCCAGTCTGATGCATTCACTTCTCTCTCTCCCTCTCCCTGTCATAACTTCTTTATAAAGCTTCTGCTAAGATTCATTTTTTTTTAATCACTGCTTGGGTTATTGCTACTTTGCTCCTCCATCATCCACTTCACTTGCTAGTGAGTGTTACTTGGGCTCATTGTGACAGCCACTGTTAATAGAATGTTCCCAGCATGTCAGAAACTGCGTGTTCACGAATTCCCATTCTCCAAACAACTTTAATCCACACATGTAGCCAGGTTAGTCTGAAACTCACACACCTCATGCTTAAA